ATATAGCATGTTACATATTTAGAAATATTTTTCTATATTAAAAGTAGCACAGTAATTACTGTGAATATAACTCTGAGGATTCCTGGGAACCTGCTTTTTGCTCCATTTGTAACAAAAGGTACCCTCAATTTCTGAGCTGCATTCTGTTCTATATGAAATCTTTCAACAACATTATTGTTTATCCCTTTTTAACATTTAAGAATTCCCTTGCTCAATATCAGACCTCCAAGGTCCCTTCCAACTCTGTTCTTCTCTTATTCTCTCTTATTCTGCTTATGGAGCTATGTGTGACTAGGAAAGGCTTTTACTTTCTGTAAATGGGGGGAGGGAGGGGAGCCATTTATTGCTACATATCAGGAAGCAAATCTTTTGTGACCTACTCTAGAAACCAAATCGTTCTTTAACTTGCACATTTATATATGTATTAATCCGCCTGCCTTTTTTTCTGCATAAGTAATTCCTATAAGAAAAACTGCCTGGGGAACAGCCCGATCACCGGCGTAGAATTTTACAAGCCATTCTTGACACCTCAATCGAGGTTTCCTGCTCAGTCACCCCGGTCCACCCTCCTGCGACCTCACCGTGAGCGGAGCACAACACTTTCTCCATGGTTCACTCTCTAAAGCTCTCTAGGGATCCCCTTCACCGCAATCAAATCCTAACCGGTCCAAAGGGAAGGAGTCTCGCTTTCCCGGGAATCGCCCGGCCCACTTGGCTTCAAAGCTGCCAATCCCCTTGTTTCTTTCCCTGGGTGGAAACCATCACAATTCCTCCCGCCAATGAAAAGCCGAGTTTTAGTCTCAGAGCACCGAGCTAAGGAGTTTTTGCCCAATTGCGGACGAGAGAGGAAAGTCTCCGAGGGAAGAAAGGAGCGCAATTGGTCAGAGAGGCAGCCAATGTTTTCATACCTCGCTACTCTTCGCATTAGCGCGAAAAAGCAAGCTCAGCCAACTTAGCCTTAGAACAGTTGGGTAAAAAGGGTAGCGCCCCCTCGGCAGTTCAATGGGACAGGAATTACTTAATAGAGCAGGGGTAGGCAACCTTGGCTCTTTTATGACTCGTGGACTTCAACTCCCAGAATTCCTGAGCCAGCATGGCTGGCTCAAGAATTCTGGGAGTTGAAGTCCACGAGTCATAAAAGAGCCAAGGTTGCCTACCCCTGTAATAGAGAAAGTCAAGTCGTGATGCCGTCTCTCGCTTTGCCATAAATAGGAATATCCGTGGAATTCTGGTCAAAAGTTGTTATAATCTGAAGTAATGTTGGCTCCTGTCCCTAGTTTTCTCCCTTGAGGTTTTCTTTAACACAGGCACATATTTACAATAGCCTTCGTAATTATTCTACCAAGTATTAATAATGAAGCCATTGAATCTAACACTTATGGACAGAATACAAAAATAAAACACAGGCTATTTTTGAATGTATTTATTTTATTTATGTCCTGTCTTTATTAATTTTATAAATAATTCTGAGAAGATTACACAGTACTGAAGGGGCCCCTTAATTAAATTTCTTTTAATAGAACAAGTATCAACAGCAAAGTGAGATTACATCCAAATGTACACGAGACAATGTCAAGACAAACATGAACTGTCATTGTGACATCTGATGCAAATCAATAGTGATTTCATGTCAGGTTGTATTGCTCACTTTGCAGATGCCTCAGTAATGTTCTATGAACATTCCTGATTTGCACTATGATGGTATTCTTTACATCTCCCCACGTCATCTATTCCTTTCTCTGACCAGTATCAAGATCTCATTTAATGGCATAATAAACTTGAAAAATGCACTGTACTTTATTTTTTGACCCATAGAACAAATTTCCATTACCATTATTTGATCTAGAATTGTTTGGACTACATGATGCCAGTCATTAGGTTTCCACAATACTGTAATATACGTTTTGTGTGTATGTCTTTTAGTTTATTTTTGAGACCTGGTGACTGCTTGGAGAAGTCCCTTAAGTTTACTTGGCAAGGTTTTGAGAAAGTTTGCCAATGTCTGCTTACTAGGACTGAGAGAGTGACTGAACAAGGTCACCTAGTTGACTTCGTGCCTAAGGTCGAAGTAAAACTCAGTCTCAGTTTCTAGTGTGATGCCTTAAATCACTATACTAAATAATATACTTGCCTTGCTTTATAAATAAACCACAATAGCAGCTATATATTAATTTAAAGCAATAGATGGGTTCATACAATCAAAGCATGCTATGGCTTAACATTACTTGGACCCCTAGCAACTAATCTTAGGATACATAATGGATGCAACACCATAAATGCAGTATGTTTGTATGTTTATTATTGAATTTATAACCCACATTTCTTGTATAAGACTCAAAGTAGTTTACAACAATATTCTAAGGTGCCAATTCAGTAGCAAGAGAGTTTAGAATTTTAAAAAATGTTCTTCTACAATACATTTATGTTGCTTTAAGTGTCAGCATTCAGTTTACAACTAAGGAAAAGTATTAAAATATCACATTTTCTGTAGAAATGCAAATAGTATGTTAAATATAATTAATAAAAAAACAGAATTAATTTTAAACATAGAATTTAGTACAATTCCAGAGTTGTAAACAAGATGGTAGATAGCAAGAGAAAAGGTGGTGCAAAATTTAACTTCAGTTATAACTCTGTCACCATACAGGCAGTCCTCGACTTACAACTGTTCATTTAGCGACCAGTTACAACAGCACTGGAAAAACTGACTTACACTGCAGTATACCCATGATCATATGATCAAAATTCAGGCATTTGGCAACTGATTCATATTTATGACAGTTGCAGTGTCCTGGGGTCATGTGATCATCTTTTGCAACCTTCGGAACGATTCACTTAACAATCGTGTGACTAACTTAACAAATGGTGTTTCACTTAACTCTGGCAAGAAAGGTTGTAAAATGGGGCAAAATTCATTTAACTGTCTTGCTTAGCAACATAAATTTTGGGTTCAGCTGTGGTCATAAATTGAAGATTATCTGTAATGCAAATGGAATCTGCTTAACCAGTGATCCTTATTCATGGAATGCTGTTCACCATTAATCCCAGTTACAAAAACTGCAGAGGCAATGTTATCTACTTGCTTGTGGAATATAACTCACCTTTTTTGTGAATCCAAAAGAAGATAATTGCTGAAAGAATGAAGCACTGAATTCAAATGATTCCCCACAGAAATGGGCCAAGGCCATAGAGCTGAGTGCTCTCTAGAACTATGGGTCTATAGTATAGTTTCTATAATTGTAATTTAGCAAAGACAAATAAAATTGTGGAAGCCACAATCCAACATGTTTGGAGGACACTATATTAATGACATTGTTCCAGAAGAAAATATGCATCACAAGTAATTAATATTATGTCAGGGCTTACAAAATATTAATCCTGGCTTTGAACCTTCAGTTTGTGCTCTTATCTTAGGTACATAAAAAACCTGATGCACAACTAATTCTGGAATTAAATCACCTGAATATAAAAACTCACTTTTGTACATTAGCTAGATCTTAAGTGCGGTGCTACTTTGAATGCACTCAAGGAATCATAAATATGTATATGTACACCTACAAATATGAAACTTGATTTTCTTCACATACTAAATAAGGAATTAATCCTAATTACCCATATAAATTGCTCCCTTTCCTGCTTCCTCAATCAGTATACCAAGGTATTCCAAGTATGATTCCTAATGCTATACAAACATTGCATTTTCTCTGCAAGCTGCAAGTGAAATCACAACTGACTTTCCAACTATCAACAAGGTTGCAGCTACATTCATTTCACTATGATCTGCCAGCTTTTGTGAGAAGAAAATAGATTAACTATCTGACCATTTAAAACTCAGGATACCTTTGTATACTTTGCAGGGGATGCCACTTTACCACTTTATTTTTAAAAAACATGTCTTGATTTTTTTAAAAACAAACCCATATGCATGTAGTGTTGTAACATTATAAAGGGAGAGAAAAATATTTTGTAGTCACTGAGTTTTGTAAGCTGGTTAATATATGCTGTATTTAACCTAATATCTATCTATATATAAATAAAAATGTAAATGTTCATTTGTTCAAAATCTTAAATCTCCGAAAGTTCTTCACCGATTGCTTTGAAATTTTGACACAACGTTGCATTCGAATACGCGCGTTTTTATATACCTATATTATATAGATGTCACACCTGTGACAGGTAAAAACATGCTTTTTTTAAAAAACAGCACCATCTGTTGGACGTAAAAGCAACACACGCTTTTACCAGACTGAGCCACAGCAACGCGTGGCCGGGTACAGCTAGTATATATATATTGCTCAAAAAAATAAAGGGAACATTTTACCATGGAACTGAAGAGGTTTGCGTTCCCTTTATTTTTGTGAGCAGTATATATATGTGTGTGTGTATAAAGATAAAAGCACTTTCTGATCATCATCAGTTTAACAACTGAGGAATAAAAGTTTTTAAATGGTAGCTATTGCAATGTTTATAGAAGCTGTGGAAACTAACTTTTCTGGGGGTTGTGTGTTAAAGATGGACATTCTGCAACTTTGAACAAAAATATAGAAAATACAAGATGACAGTAAACTGAGAATGTAACCTTGTAGATGATCAATATAAAATGTTTTAGGAAAATGTGACTATTCATATTAAAATACTAGTGTGAAAGTGACCTAATTCTCAGCCTTAATCAATACTGGATTTGATAGGGCTCAGTTGCATTTTATTATATATTTTTTGTCGTAAGTACCTGGACAAAATTGTTAAAGTATTGGAGAGATAGGATTACTTTAACAGTGAACTGTGTTTATATTCAAAAATTTTTCGTCTTTTTCCTAGGTCGGTCTTTGTGATACCGACGACAGGGGTTAGACTCACAAGGACAATGTATGTCGAAGTTAAAAATCTTAACAATCAGTGTCGGTACGACCTACGTCTTGAACGTCGACTTCAGATGTGAAGACCTATCACGGGTTGAACCCTTTATGACGACATACGGTGGCTTTATCACAAATAACTTGTACTTTATTATTTAGGGATCAGTGAACCCTTTCATACTTTCAATTTCCCAATATTTTGAGTTACTTTGTTTTGTAATATTGCATTAAGATGATTCTTTAAAGCTTTGCTTAAAAAACAGGGACCTGTTTTGCTTTCCTTGCAAAGAATCGTGGCTGTGCATCAGTTTTAGTTATTTTTTTTCCTATTTGTTTTATTGAAGCAATTTTAAGTGTTTCCTTCTTCAATGCTTTGTAGTTGTATTTTTTGTCCAATGTGAATCCTGCCGCCATGCCGTGCGCTTGCATTGTTGCCTGCCACAGTTCGTGCTGGGAACAAAAAGCCAGACAGGGCATCTCCTCCAAACAAGGTGATCCTCACATCCGTTTCAATTGCTTTGGCCAAACTGGATGCATAACTATCCAGCGATTTGTGAACTTCGGCCTTTACATGAAGGATAGAGTTCTTTGCTGCTTCTGACCAAGGAAAAGAGAGAGATTAGCCCAATAATTCCATATGAATGCCTCATACGTTAGTGTTAATTTGGACATTGTAGTCATCTATCCTGTAATGAAATACATTCAAAGAAGATTCATCCTATTGTGGCTTTGGGATTCTATGTAGGATAGTAGTTATAAATCTAACAAAATGAAGAGTTGGGTCAAGTGTACGCATGATCATTTAATCTGACAACTGACATCTATCCATAAACTTAAAAGTAAAGTATGTGGATCTCAGACATCAGCAAATTATATAACAAAGACAGCCTTTAAAGGAACTATGTTTCTTTAATTACAACAGAGAGTAAAACTCCCTTTATTAAATGCTGTACTTCTTTCTTCACCTCTGCTACTGCAATAGGCAGACTAGAGATCATTTACAACTACTACAAACTACTATTTTTCCAACATTTGCAGCAGCACTTCTAGAAGTAGCCCTTGAGTAATTCAGATTAAATCTTCCATCTGCAGTTCTAATTTTGAGCTTGCAATTTTACAATATATAGTTTCATTTTGTTTTTTTCTGAAAATGCTCTGAAGATTTCTCTTCTATAGGTCCACTGCACTTTTTGTGTATGATTTGTTAACAGTCAATAATAGTACCTAAGTAAAGCTAAAAGAAGAACTGAATTTTTCTCCATTCTAGAACAGTTTCCCAGTTCTCCTTCTCCTTACAAATCCATGGGGCTGTTTTCCTTCCATATTTTTCATTTTCCTTTGTACTTTCTTACATGTGGAAAACTCCCTTGCTTGTCCTTTTCTCTTTAAGGAATCTCTTTATAATGAATGTTTACTTTATCCTTCCTGAATTCAGTATAATCCATTTTACTTTTACTTTTTTTAGACACATAGACAGATCAACAGACTTTGGACAGTGAGGATGCAATTGCTAATATATGTCTATACTGTATATCTATGAATATAAATAATGGCTGGCCATTACTAAATTTATTTACAGGCAAAAATCTTTAAAAGTTCCAATTGCTTAGAGCAAAGCCACACTTACTGACAATGTCCAATAAATCCACATTCTGCAAAGTATCTGCTTGTTCTATTTTCCCCCTAAAGAATAAGTTTAAATAATTGCAATTATCACTAAATAATTTTTTTATGTTGGCTTTATTATTTTAATAAATAACAAGGCAGCAAACATGCCTCATATTCCTTCCTTCTCCTATTTTCTCCACCGCACCCTATCAGGAGAGTTGGGCTGAAAGAGAGTAACTGCTCCAAAGTCACTGAGCTGGTTTTTAGCCTGACACCTTAACCATTAGACCAAATTGGAGTTAATATGTTTTTTTTTCTTAAAAAAAATAATAATGAAATTTGTTTGCCAAATTTAGCAGAAATATGGCACTTCAGATAACCAAACAGAAAACATTTTAGCAATATCTAAATTTTCAGGAATGTCGACATTCAAGGTTATGTCAATTTCCTTATTTAATTTTCCTTAATTCCTTTCCTTAATTAGCTAATTAATTCAGCCAACATATGTGCCTTATATTTTAGACTGACAATTTGCTGGAAAAAAAATAGTCTCCCTTATACTCTCCAAATTAAAGTTTGCAAGATGGTATAATATTCAAAGTTCAGTTGTTTGGAAGTTGAGTACATGAAATATTCAAGAGATTCCGACAGAGGACAAGAATTCAAGAGATTTTCAGAGAAGTGTGTCTCCATTCCCAGTACGCATCAACTTTTTAATGCAAAATGAATTTATTTTCTCTGCCTCCTTAATTTTTCCCTTCTGGATTATATATATATAATGAGCTATAAGCTATAATGAGCTAAGACTTTCTAGTGCAGTGGTGGCGAACCTATGGCACAGGTGCCAGAGGTGGCACTCAGAGCTTCTCTGTGGGCATGTGCGCCATCGCCCCAGTCCTAGGCCTTCAGCTGGGTTTTATAAAACCTTTTCATTTTAGGCCTCCGCCGCCATGTAAAAAAAAGGTTCAATCAATCAGTCAATTTCAACTTTTCGCGGGGAAAAAAGATCTTGCAAAGTTGGAATTGATTGATTGAACTTTTTAGTCCCAGCCAGTCTGCCGTTACCACTGCAGCCATGCCCATCCAATGGGCCACACCCACCCAATGGGCCACACCCACCCGGCACCCAACAATGCATAAGTGGGTTTTGGGTTGCAGTTTGGGCACTCGGTCTCTAAAAGGTTCGCCATCACTGTTCTAGTGCATTTATTTCATTTTCAAGTCTTTCATAACTTCTAATTTATATTAAATAAACAATTAAATTCAAATGAGTTAATTACATTCAAACTAAAATTAAGTAAAAATCAAAGAGCAGCATAGGACTGAATTCTTAGTTCAAGCATTCCCCTCTTATATACAGTTCAGTAATGGGCATGCCTAGTCTCAACATACCTTTAATTTGTTCCACTTCATCTTCAAAAGTTACAGAACTCCGTCGACGAGGGTAAACACAATGTGGGTGATTGATTCCATCAGAACTATAATCTTCAAGCAGCATAACATCTGTCCCTAAAAAGATATCCTGGCTTAGACAGTTGACTAAATCATTTAGTGGAATAATTCATTTAATGAATTCAAGCAAAAATGGTATTTTTGTGATATGGGCATTGAGCTGTACTCTCCCTCACATCCAGAAAACAGCAGATGGCACCTCTAGAGCTGGAATCATATTTTACAATGCAGAAAAGTGAAGCAGCAAAAATGTCTTTTGCTTATGATGGTAATTATAGAGTTAGGAAACAAGTGAATGGGAAGAATGCCTCAACTTTCTTTTGCAGTTTTTCTTGTAACCAAGTCATCTTTGGTTATGAATTTTATTTTGAATTGTATTTGACTTAACTAATCACTAAACTTACTCAGAGAGAATCAGAAGTTACACAAATGGCTAACTATCTCCATCTTTCCTACATTCATAAGAGTTTTACAGGGCAGCGCACACACTTATTGCCCAGTAGTCTTTTTCCCAATGCTTTTTCCATTATTTTTCATTGACACACAGACACACACACAAAACCTATGGGAGGGGGGAATCTTATGATAGCTTCATAATATTTTTTCATGGATAGCACTAGGATAGTTCTACTAAGTTGCATTTCAAGTTTATTGCAAGCTCTTTTTTTATAGCGGCTACATCATACTCCTGGCTCTTGTTCATTGCAACATAATTCAAAGAAACAATTACCTGAATCCTGAGAGCAACTGAAGCCTGTATCTCCTGTACTGCTGCTGTGTCCTAACGTCCGCTCCCCTGCCATGAGAGCTGTCAGATGTGGAGATAATCCTAGATCTGCAAAAGTATTTCAGCATCCAAACAAATTACCTTTTGGAATCATAACCAAATATCTTCAAATATCCTCAGTGCATTTTTACTACATTGCTTGATTTAATAATAGCTAAGTTTGTAACAATAACCAGTTTAGTGTAATGGTTGAGGCATCAGGCTAGAAACTGGGAGACTGTGAATTCCAGTTCTGCCTTGGGCCCAAAGCCAACTGGGTACCCTTGGCCCAGTTACTTTCTCTCAGCCCTGGGAAGGAGGCAACAGCAAATCACTCCTCAAAACCCTTGCCAAGAAAACTGCAGGGCTCGTCCAGTCAGTCTCCAATCACTAGTCATGACTGAATGGAATAAAAAAAAAGGTTGTAAACTTCTGAATTTATTAAACAGGACTCTTGAGTAATTCAGAATTAAACTTCATATCACTGGGAACCTGTATCCAATGAGGCCAATGGGAAAAAATCTTTATATTCCTTTTTAGCTTGGTATTGGAGTTTGAATATCTCAAAAATAATAAAAATTGAGGAGAGCGAAGGTGCGCCTTGGATTACAGCACCCATTGAGCTGGTCGCGCCTGGAGTCATCCAGCGCCCCCAGGGGAGGCAGCGATCAAGAGGTTCACTGGGTGGCATGGCCTCACATGGAGTGCCCCGGCGGTTAGGGACTACAACTCCCACCTGAGCAGGGGGTCGGACTAGAAGACCTCCAAGGTCTCTTCCAACTCTGTTGATCTGTTATTTATTCTGAAAACCTTTTAAAGAAATGCTTTGAGCATTTATATTTATCTAGGTTATAACATGTGATAATGCTTGTGCCAACTGTGATGAAAGGGGAATGCAGCTAAATGTAAGGAGAGCCAATCACAGACAGAAAGAATGGTGTAAAAGCAATTGAAATTGTAGTGGTAGTGATAAATTAATCTATATCATTGGTTGAACCCCCATTTTCAACTTTAGTAGCAAACCATTACACAGAAAAGTTAAACTGAATTTTTTTTTAAAATCATAAACAAATAAATAAATGGAAAACAGAGGAATTGCAAGAGGTTGTAGATTCTACGATATCACAAAAATATACATATGCAAAAGATGCCTCCTGAAAGCACTTAGCTTAATTTTCCAATTCTGTCTTATCAGTTCAGTGAAGTTTATCTGAATAAAATGGATAATTAGACAAAATGAATCTCCAAGGTGTCCTGCCTGCCTTGAGTATATGCAAGAATTGTGGCTATGTCCATGTAAAAAATTCTCAATGATGAAGAAGACAAAGAAACCACATGATAAAGGGTAGACAGCACTAGTGGCTGTACCAGTCTAATTAAATGGTGGTTACTCTGTCCTAGCAATTTACAGTATCTTCTAGAGGTATTTTAATATTATTTTTAAAAAATTACCTGTGATCCTATTAGAAATACTAAATAATCTGGATGTCCTTTGCCTTTGAACAAATGATTCTCTGTAGTACCGATCTCCAAAGCACATTCCCAGTAACTCTTTGCGTACAGTTTTATTCCAGAGTCCATAAATCAAAGGATGGCAGATAGCACTTGTAAAAGATAACCATGTTGCTAATGTCTCAAAAGCAGGGGAAATGCAGTTTTTACCCCAAAGTGCCTCAGACGTGATAACCACCATGTAAGGCCCCCACGTGATAACAAAAGCCCCAATCACAACTAAAATTGTGATCAAAGCTTTGCACTGATTGGCAGAATAAACAACCCCTTGGAAAGCATTCCTTCGGCTGCCTGATGAGGACGTTGAAGTACTCGAGTTCTTTCTCCCATTCCTTTGTGTATCTTCCGCAGCAATGACCACGCTGCCACAGTGAATCTTCCGTGCCTTAATCCTGGCCACACGAAATATGAAACCATAGCAAATGATCATGACTATAAATGGTAGCAAAGCACACCATATCTGCCAAAATGCGGTGTAACCTGCCTGCTTATGCCATGCAGCTACACACATCCATTTGAACTGATCAAATTCTAAAGATGACCAACCAAAGAGGGGTGGAAGGCATCCAATTAGAGAATGAAGCCACACATACACTATGGCAACAACAGCTCTGTTACCCGTAATCTTCATAGGGTAAACCATTGGGTACAGAACAGCATAGTATCTGAAAAACATAAAAAGGGTGTGCAGTAATATTAGGGTTCATGCAATACATAGGAAATTGAATAATACCAAACATGTAAAAATTAAAGGAATGAGTCTGTCTTTTGAAAATTGGATCTGATTAATTACAGAACTTGGATTGTCTCATGGAAACACACTTTTCTTTGCTGCTTAAATATTCAGATGCTGCTTATGTATTAATAAACAAAGTTATTAGTGCCACAATCTCAATGTATGGACTTGTTAGCATTGTTAATTAAAACATATTTCTCTGCCACTGCATGTTTAATGCTGGTACATGCTAAACCCCCTTTTTCCCCATGCAGCTCAATTCAGATCATTATAAAAATGGATGGCGTACCGATCGATAGCAATGATTCCGAGTGTGAGCATACTGGCAGAGCTGATGAGCATATAGAGTAGGGCAGAGAAGTTGCACCAAACAACTCCAAAGATCCATTCCCGACGGATGGAGCTGGTAACAACGAAAGGAAGCACCAGCACCGAAAGAAGGAAGTTGGACAGAGTGAGGCTGAAAACAAACTTGTTGCTTAAGGTGAGCAGGTATGACCTCTTGTAAAGAGTGAGGACGATCACCAGATTTCCTAAACAGATGAAAATAGCAATAATGATGATAGCAATTGACTCGGCGATTCTGCCTGCTCCCTCTTCCAGCAGTGTGAGGTTTTCTGAGGCATTCTCCTTACTGAGGGACAAGTTGATGCTCATTGTCAGAGCAACCAAGACATGCTGAGCATCTGCTAAAAAAATACAAAAACAGTTGATACACATACTGCATCAATTATATTTCCATAAACAAAGTTACTAGTTCCACAATTCTCAAGGAATGGACTTGGCTGCATTGTATTAGTTAAAATACTACAAATACTACATGCATAAGGCTTATCCAAGTTATAAAATATTACATGAACTTCATGGATATGTTTAATGATATGCAAGGCATTGCCAAAGACAGACAGAACAACTCCTATGTAACCCCCCCCCCAGTCCACGGAAAAACCGCTTGCCACGGAACCGGTCCCTGGTGCCCAAAAGGTTAGGGCCTAGTGCTCACGAGCATTTCACTTTGACCTGAAAGTGCATAATGGAATACTCTATCCTTAGAAACTTCCAGAATACAATTTTTTGGAGAGAGGAGGAAGGGAACTGGGGGAGCAGACAATTTCTGAAGGAAATATATTCTTAAAGTAGGATATCTTTGCCATGCTGTTTGATACAAATTTCACAAGCAGTAATACACCATAGACTAGCATGGTGGAATATCCATGAAAGCCTTGGAAAAGATATTCAGGTACTTTGATGTCTCTATATCTACAAAGATCAAATGGTGTAAGCAATGGTATTACCAGTGACACTTTATGGAAACAAAAGTTGGACCCTGAAGAAGCATGATGGGAAGAGTATTATTGCTTTTGGTGTTGGAAAAGACTCCTAAGAAGACTGTGGACAGACAAGAAAACAAACAAAGGAATCATCAAACAAATCAAACCAGAGTTCTCAGTCAGAAATGACCAGAATCAAATTATCCTATTTTGGATATATTATGTGAACACCTAGCTTTCTGGACAAGGTTCTAATACTGTTAAAAGTGGAAGTAAGTTAAAGAAAAGGATGACTGGCAGCAAGGTGGATGGACTCCGTTAGAATGGCAATTGGCGCACTAACAGAAAATCTGGATAAACACATTTGGAGAGAATATTGCCAAAATCTATGTATGTTGTATGAATTGTTGAATATGGATATGTTGGATGAATTGACACAAATTAGCAACATTAAACTTGGTGCTTTTCATTTCCTACGATCTCTAGATCAGGGCTTTTCAACCTTTTCACCCATTGTACCATTTTTAGGATATGGCAACATCCGAGTACCACCAGTCGCCTAGCAAGGTGTCAAAAACTTGATGACCAAAAAAGAAAAAAATGATAAAGTACAGGTAGTCCTCGATTTACAACAGTTCACTTAGTGACTGTTCGAAGTTACAATGGCACTGAAAAAAGTGCCCCCCAAGCCACAGCTGAGCAAGACACCTGCCTGCCCGCCCGGCCGCACTTTTCCTCCTGTCCGAGGTTTTCATTGTTGTGAGATTTCTGTTGAGGATTGGCAGTGGGGGTGGGGTGGGGGGGTGTTTGGTTTTTATTCCCCCCGTCTGCTGGGTGGTTGCAGCAGGTTTTGGTCACTTCACATGACCCTGGGACACTGTGACCGTCATAAATATGAATCAGTTGCCAAGCATCTGAATGTAAATCACAAGACCCTGGAGATGCTGCAACATTCCAGCTGAT